ATAGTTGTAATCCTTAGAGTATAGCTTTTATGAGAAAAATGATTTTATAGTGGGTTGCCATTTAAAAAAAATATTTTTTTTTGTATAACTCAAAAACAAAAGGAAATTTCGAAAAATGTTATTCTTTTTAAATCATCACATTTTTATAGTAGTTTATCACTCATCAATTAGTTTTTTCAAAAAATAAATAGTTTAAGCAAAAAACGTTTGGTTCCATACTACACCTGGTATGTAGTATATCCACTTGCATTATGCATATTACGCATTACAATAGATAATTATCTAAAATGACCTCATTTGTAAGTACGAGTATTGGTAAATTAATCTATAGTATTCTACAGTTAATAATTACATAGGTAATGTGTGAGTGTCGATAAATACATAACTAATTTCATAAACATTCCCAACGCGCATGTTGAAAGCAAATGTATGAATGGCCATTGGGATTTTTTTTTGCGGAAAGAAGTGTAATTATTATTCTGCAAAAAAAACCTTTATCGTGTCATTATCAACTATTAATTTCGTTTAATATTACACATTTATTAAAAATTATGGGGACCATAATATTACCAACATAATACCTTCGATACAATCATAATATGGTAGATACGGTTACAATAAATGCTAAAAATGTAAGCAGCACTTTTTGCGGTATATCTGGATTATTATTAATTTTATTAATTTTTTAGTTATTCTTGCACGTTTTTTCTTCTCTTGCACGTTATTAAGAGGTTTGCGATAAATACAATTTTTTGAATAAAGCCACAAAAAAGTCTGGAGGAGTAAGGTCACAGGATCTCGGAGGTCAAATATTTTTTGTGTTTTGACTAATAAGTCTATTATAAAAAAAATCGCGTAACATTCAGGGTGATTCAGCCACAGTTAAGTCACCTATCAGCTTGTATGTAAAATTCAATTGATAGTTGACAGCAGGTTGACAGAAAACGTCAACCGTCTACAACAAAAGGTAACCAACCCTAGGCATGCAATATTACTTCTGAAAATTCTAGTTACCAACAACATAAAAAACGTAATTTTCCTAAAGGTTCAAATCCTAGGTGGTACTTTCTTATTGACAAATCTGTATCTATAAAAACTTCGAAGTTATGAGAGTTTATATTTTGCACTTTGACTCTATTTATTTCTGTTGGAAAAATAATTTGAGCTACAGGCTATTAGAAGAGAAAACAAGGAAGTTGTATCCTGAATTGTAATTCTGTGGATTTATTGGTAAAATTCTTGAACTTTTACTAAATAATTATAAAAAAACATATACAAGATCATCAGTATTATTAAATAGACATAAAAAAATGTCAAATGTCAAAAAATAAATGTCAAAATTTTTTGAGAGATAGAATTTTTTAAACATTCTTTCCATGTTTTTGGTATCTTATCTTACTCAATTTTTTTCTCTGGGGCGCATGTTCTGACACACTTTGTATAATAAAGACTCATTCAGACGCAACCCAAAATACATTCTCAGATACCACTGTTTGAAATTTTTCAAAAATATAGACATAAATACAAAATTTGGAGGTTTTTTTCATGGTGTGAACGTGTTTTATTAAAACTAGGTTAAATATTTTGATGGCACTCTAAATTCTGCCGCTAAATTCATTATTTTCCAACGATTTTCCAGGTGAGCGACGATTTTGGAGTTCTCTACTTTACTTAAATGCGGCATTACACAAGTTGGTATAAATTTAATGCCTTGATTGAAATATTTTTGATAGGTATTGTCAAGTTGACAATTGACAACTAGGACCATATTTACATTTGAAAAAATTTCATTTCTCGTTTTTTTTATTGTAGCTGTACCTGTGATGGCTTTGTCAATTTTTATAACTTGGAATCATACAGTATACCTTTGACGGTGCAGATTCAGCCACAGCGTTTTATGCCATTCCCCATTTGTCAAGATTTGTCAAGACAGTTTCTTCGTGGTTTGAATACAAGAGAAAAAGAAAGTGGAATTTTTGAGACTGTCAAATTCAACTAATGGCATAAATTACTTTGATTTGAATTTAATAAATAAAATTTTTCACACAAAAAGCAAAGTTGATTGTGAGAATGTATTTTGGGTTGCGTCTAAAAATTGGTCAGGGTCTTTATTTTAAGTAACTCAACTTCAGAAAATCCTTTCTCGAGCATTATAATTATTTTCACTTTGTTGAAATATCAGACTGGCGACACAATAAAATATTTATCAATTAGATTTTTGCGTGGTGTTTTGACATTTGTATTTATTTTTTGAAAAAACCTTGATTGCAGACAAAACTACATAGGGAAATTTCTTTTTTTGGCCTATGGTGCTACGCTACCTTTGTTTCAGTAGTGGAACAAAGCAAGTTTTTTTTTTTTTATTAATATTTTTCTATAACAAATAGAGCCCCTCACCATGGCCTACTTCAACTGTCTTCCGCTGCAGCAGCGGATAAAGTAGGCCATAGAATTAGTGTCATCTATCGCGTTAGATACGAACTACTATGTTACAGATTTCTATGTCAATTTATCGACTTCTTTATAAATTTTATATTTGTAAAACTATTGTAATTTACATTTATTTAATAATTATGTATTTATTATAATTTAATAATTTACGGTAATTGTTAAAAAATGTAACTGGTAAAATAATTAGAACGTATTTTTTTGTGAGGTTATGACTCATTTGTTTTTGACAGTTATAGTATGATTTTTGACATCATCACAGCTGACACCCCCTAAGCAATGTGTCTAGTAAAAGAAAGTCAAAGTGTCTTATAAATATAGGTTTAACTGACCTGCAATTAGAACAGAAATAAGTCGTACGTATACCACTAAAACCGCCATAGAAAATTTGTTAAAACCAAAGTTAACAAATCCTACGTCATTCATTAATTATTTTTGTTCTCTCCAGGAGATGAAAAAATGATGCCCATTAAAGATAATCAAGATGTTGCATGCTTTTTTGTTACTAAACATTCCTGGAAAGGAAAGTATGTTTTAGGAGAATTACTAAAAAACACTTGTATAAATTATGCTTCATTGTAGATATAAAAGAATATTCTCTGTGGGCACAATGGGAATTACCACCTATAACCCCTCAACATTGGAGGTGACAAATAGGTGGCCATATAGCGATTTCATATCGCTGCAGCCTCAAAAAGGTGCAGGGAATACTCCAAATGAGTTTATCATAACAATGAAAAAGGAGCGCAAAATAGATCATATGAAATTTTCAACTGAACATAGGGCTCAATTGTTGACAGAGGCGTTGAAATTTAGACACAGTTTCGCCGAAAAGCCAAAGGAAATCTTAGTAATTTTTTGTAACATTACATGACTAAATAATAATGATATGTTTTCAGCGTTATCATGCTTATAAACATCATTGGTCAGATGTCAGATTGCCAATTGTTTTAGAAGTAACTGCCTACTCTCTTGATCAACTTGATCCAGCAACCAATCATATTTTAGCTAGTTACTGTTTTAAAGATTTTGAGGGAATTTGCACAATTTCTGATTATCCAGGTTTGAGTTTCTACCTTTGTCTTGATTATAAATTATCTTCAGCAAAGTATCAAATATCAACGCCTGCTTGAAAAAAATGTTAAAAAAAAAATTACACTGTACTTTAATGTATTTAGGGTTATTTAGTTTTTGTATGCCGCTTCTGACTTGTCAGGTAACAAATTTTGACTTGTTGCTTCGACAATTTCACTAATTTCGGGCAGAGTGCAAACTAAATTCTGTTGGCTCATATTTTATTTATTATTATTATGTTGGAACACTAATAACTAATAATTTGTAAATTTTATTTTTAATGTCAGACGGCAGAAATGATTCAAAAAATCAGGTGGGCGCCGAGTGTTACCAACCGATACCAACTAACACAAAATTCTCTAGACGACAAAAAAATATATTTTTATAATTAAAATAAGAAAAAAGGGGGCCCAAATTAGAAAAAATAACATAAAATACTCGTTTTATAATGGCATTGGTGCACTCATCCTATAACTTGGGATTTGTGCGCCAAATCAATCCTTATAAAACTTGTTCTTTAATACAGGGTGTTCCGTCTAAATCCCACATTAAAAGTATGGGAGTTTCAATAATCATATTTATTTCAAAATTGGTACATAGCCATAATCCATTAAGTCCTTCTAAATGAAAATATTTTCAAGATGGCGGCACTTCCGCTTATACCGGAAGTCGGTGTCAACTTTCTTATTTTAAATGGAAAGGTATTTTTTTACTGCGTTTTTGGATTAATCGGGTTATTTTAAGGGCGTTTTTATCAGCTTTTTCTATACTTAAATTTAGCCGTTTTTAAAATATTTTGAGTTTTTCAAAAAATTTTGGATCTGCATCTTACAAATTGAAAATCGGTAACTCTGCTATTTTTTGAAATTTTGAATTCGTTTTTTTGCGTTTGAAAGAAAAAGTTTAAATCTTTTTTCCGGTGTTTTCAAATTTTGAAAAAAAAATTAACAAACCCTAAAATTTTAAGGTTTCTTTT